CCCTGCCCATGGCAGGGGGGTTGAAACTAGATGATCTTATGGTCCTTTCCTACCCAAACCTTTCTAAGATTCTGTAATATGTAGGAAGAACTGCAACCGCTTTGCATTTTAGAAGAGCATAGTATAAGTAATTCCACAAACTATTGTTACAATATACAATATATAAAATACATATGCAGCCTCAAGCTACATGCATGATACCTAATTTTGCTGACAAAGTTGGGTGAAATAAGGCGTGCTACTCCTGCCTCAGAAATCCCCTTGCTTCATGATATTCAGAATCCTCTTCCTTTTTCACCACAGAAATTAACCTCTGCTTTGTCTTATATCAAAAATGAAAAACATTCCTGCAGCGAGGAATCACATGAACAAGGTTAAGACCGAGTGTCAGGTGAAGAGCAAAGGCAGCATTTGAAAGGACCAATTTTATCAGCTGCTATCAGAATAAAAGTGACACTGACAGAAGTAAGTTTTTCCTCCAGCAAGTGCTTGTCATGCTTAAAGAAAAGGCTGTGGGATCTGAAAGCAGCTCAATATTGGCTGCAAGCTTTGCTGGTTTACTTTTCAGTATTACCACTCCCTTATCGACCTCCTATTGATAAAATGAGCTAGTACTCAGGTTAGTAGCTGTTCTGTTTCTGACATTGTTAAGGCAGTTAACACCACATGTGTATTTAGGTAGTGGTTTAATTAAGTTTTAATCTGGTTAGTTTTAGAAAACTTAAGTTTTAATTTGGTTAGTGGTTTATTAAGCATACTTCATTTGTCAAGATGAGCCATTCTTGTCTGGGCCTGTTGAACTTTCCTCCACCTCTTAGCCACCTGTCCTGGGTTCAGCAGTAGCAGTCATGTTTCTCCTTCTTGGGAGTTGGTGCAGTGCTGTGTTTTGACTTTTGGCCTGGGAACAGAGCTGATAACCATGATGTTTTGGTTTGGCCAAGGACTTTGTGAGCCTCATGCTCTGCCAGGGAGGAGGGGAAGCAGGGAGGAAGCAGAGACAGGACACCTGACCCAAACTGACCAAAGAGGTATTCCATACCACAGCACGTCATGCCCAGGAGGTAACTGGGAGTTACCCGGAAGGGCTGGGAGACTGCAGGGTTAGAGGAGGTATCGGTCGGTGCTTGGTCTGGCTTGGGGGGGCGAGTTATCGGTTGGCTGGTGGTGAGGTGTTGTATTCTCTTCCCTTGTTATTTCCCTTATCATTGTTATTATTGGTGGTAGCAGTAGTGATTTGTGTTATACCTTAGTTACTAATCTGTTCTTATCTCAACCCGTGGGAGTTGCATTCTTTTCGATTCTCCTCTCCGTCCCTCCGGGAGTAGGGGGAGGGAAAGAAGGGGGCGAGTGAGTGAACAAGTTACCTGACTGGGTTAAAACCACGACACCACTGCTAAGCAACCGCTCTTCTCTTTGCTTAGCTGCTGAGTGAAAATCTTTGTATAACCAATGTGGAGGATTACGTCTCTTTGCAGCTTCCTCAGCAGCCATCAGCAGTGTGTGACGTTAGTGTTCCTGCTGTCAGGACAGGCTGGTGGCAGTGGAACCATGATCTGGAGAACACGTAACCAGCCAGGACTGCACCACTGAGTTGGCTGGCAGTTTTTGCTGTGCAGCTCCTGCAAGGCCACTGGAAATCCAAGGACAAGCCCTCCTGGAACATTGGCTAAAGCGGTTATTCACTATAATCCCTTTTACTCTTTGCTAATAAACTAGTTGAGTTAGACTGGACTGATCTCTGCATCCTTTATTTTCAAGTTAGGCGCAGTTGTGTGTGACCTCAGTGTTTGTGCTGTGAAGACAAGGCAGGTGGCGACTGGGCGAAGGTCTGTGTGGATGGTGAATGTCTGCTCTTCAGGGTGAAGGACCTTCTTTAATGTCTCAAGGGATAATAAGAAGGGGAGGAAGCCATAAACAAGAACATTCAGTTAAACAAATCTGACCAACAGCTGATGTGTTGAATGGCCTTAAACTGATAGAGGGGAGATTGAGATGAGATCTTAGGAAGAAATTGTTCCCTGTCAGGGTGATGAGGCCCTGGCACAGGTTGCCCAGAGAAGCTGTGGCTGCTCCATCCCTGGCAGTGTTCAAGGTCAGGTTGGACAGGGCTTGGAGCAACCTGGTCTAGTGGAAGAAGTTGTCCTGTGGCAGGGGGTTGGAACTGGATGAGCTTGAAGGTCATTTCCTACCCAAACCATGCTATGAGTCTGTGATTCTATGACCTCCTGCCCTAGAGAGCACCTTTGAACTAGCTCTGGCAATTAAGAAGCTGGCATCTGCTCCAGGAGCAGCAGGGACAAGGGCTCTTATCCTATGTGCTCTTACCAGCAGCATCTAAAGGGGTTTGTAGGTCCCTTCCAACCCAAACCATTTTGTGATTTTAGGATTCTGTGAAGGAGCCTGTGGTGGGAGCCAAGCCTGGTCAGTCACACTAACGGATGAAAGGGAGCCCGAGAAGTTATTTCAGTGAGGTTATCAGAGCAGGTGCTGGTCAGTTGGAAACTAAAGTTAAAAAAGGCAACCAAACCCAAAATGCAGCCCTGACAAAACAGACATGGAGACAATGGCGTGGAAACATGCTGATGTGGGACCCACGGACAACGCAGAGATGATCAATGTGATCAAGCGATTGCCAAATTTATTACAAAGCCTTAACTCCTTATATACTATTTCTTACATGCAGTTACAGTGATTTGGCATATTATGATTGGATACATGTCTTGAAGACCCTTAGTGGCTAACATATAATTGGTTAAGCACAGGTGTGAGAACTTGACCTCGAAAGCTTGCCAACAGTCCACAGTTCTCATAACTCAGTGAATTCCAGCTTCTTCTTATCTTGCTTGCTTAAGCTTCTTCGGGCCTCTCATGGCCTTGCTATATCTTTCAGGATTATTCAGAGTTTATGTACCAATTATCCTTTCTCCTGTGAGAACACTGCCTCCACAGAAACAAGCCTCACCAGTGTGAGTGTGTGCTGCAAGGACAAAGCGAGTGGTGAGACCTGCATGTGCGTGAGTGGATTTGACTCCAGCTCCTGGAGTCACATGGGTGTAGATGCCTCTGGTGTCAGCTGCTGGAGCAAGAGGGGTCTCAGTGCAATGACAGGAGTGAGTGAGGATCTTTATCCTACAGCTTCTGGCGTGGGAATGGCGCGTGGCCTGAAAACCAACCACTGGTGTGAATGAGGTGAGTGAAGGGCTGAGCACTGGTGGGTGGAGCAGGACCACAGGTCACAGCCCAAACTGGCTGTGCATGTGAATTCACCAGCAAACTTCAAGCTGGAGTGGCTGGGAGAGTGGCCTTGGCCCAGGCTGTATCCAGGGGTTGCAGTGTTCATGTTACCACATCATGTGTGCCAAAGCACTCTTTCAGGGCTTCTGTTCTCCCATGCATACTGTGCGTAGCTTGCAAGCTTTCGGTAGTCTTCATCTTTCAGGTGTCTGTGTGCCTGTAACCTCCAGCTCCTTCTCCAGTACAGGGAGGCAGTGCTCTACATGGAGGCCTGTGGGTGTCAGCATCTCTGCCAGTCCACCCTGGCCTGAATCTTCTTTGCAGGGATCACCTGGCATGTCCTTCCCTGTGGACACCGCTGTGGGAAGGAATGCAAGGACACAAGGATGCATGGTTTGTAACTAAGGTTCTCAGGATAACTGACTTGCTCAAAAGGAGTTGATAGGGGAGGCAAAAGACCTGATGATGTTGAGATATGAATGGAAAGCTGTGCAGGAACTGACTGGTGGGGGTCTGTCACAGGGGCCAGAAAATGCAAGTGACAGGACTAGGGTGACAGGCTGGAAGGCCAGGATGGGGCTGTAAATGGAGAGGCGGAGATTTTTGTGTACCAACATAGAATCACGGGATGGTTTGTGTTGGAAGGGACATTAAAGCTCATCCAGTACCAAACCCCTGCCACAGGCAGGGACACCTTCCACTAGACCAGGTTGCTCCAAGCCCCATCCAACCTGGCCTTGAACACTGCCAGGGATGGGGCAGCCAAAGCTTCCCTGGGCAGCCTGTGCAGGGCCTCACCACCCTTTGCTTTTGCTTTTTCTCCCCTTCCTTGCTCTACTTTTCTTGTTCTTTCCCCCTGTGTGTACCCCCTCCCACCCCCACCCTGTGGCATCCCAAACATGTATTTCCTGTCCCACCTGTCCCTGGAGCTGGTGGGACACGGCCAGACTCCCTGTGGAACCCAGACATTCCCTTCACCTCAGTCCTGCCATCTACGCTCCTCCTGGGGTTCTGCTGATCCTGGCCTCAGCATGTACAGCAGCTGGGATGGTCCCAAGTCCCAGCTGCATTGGGAAGGTCATAGAACCATAGAATCTCAGCCTGGCTTGGGTCAAAAGGGACCTTAAAGCTCATCCAGTTCCAACCCTCCCTGCCATGGGCTGGGACACCTTCCACTAGACCATGTTGCTCCAAGCCCAGGCCAACCTGGCCCTTTGAACCACTTTTCTCTTTCTTTAAAAGGAAACAAATTACAGATTCAGAGTCACTGGCGTTGGAAAAGAGCTTTAAGATCATCGAGTCCGACACTAAACCCAGCACTGCCCGGGCCACCATGCCACTGTTCCCCTCAGCGGATGCTCAGCCACCGGGGGCCGCCCCTGCCCCTTCCCCTTCCCGAAGAGGGTTTTTTTGGAGCCCCCGTGCCTCCTCCCGGCCCGCGGGCGCGGACACGGGGGTGAGCAGCCCGCGGGAGAGCCCGGCCGGCCTCACCGCCCCCGGGAGAGCCAGGCCGGCCCCACCGCCCCCGGGAGAGCAGGCTGCCCCCGGGAGAGGAGCCCGCCACGGGCCTGGCTCCTCCTCCTCTCCCTAACCCCTGCGGGCCCTCCCCGCGTCCTTGTTTCTTCCCCCAGGAAGCCGCTTACGGGAGCCGCCCGCAGCCCCCAGCCCGCAGCCCCCAGCCCGCGCTCCGCTCCCGAGCGCCACGCTCCTCCCGCTCTACAGGCGGCGCCCTCGCGCGGCGGGCGGGGCGCCGTGGCGTCACGGCCACGCCAGGTGGGCCGATGCGGCGGCGAGAGGCGGGCTACGGTGGCCGGCGGGGGTCAGGGCCAGGGCCAGGGCGGGCGTGGAACGGAGGATCGGTACTGGCACCTGGAGCAGGCGTGGGGGCCACCATGGAGTACGTGACCGCAGAGCAGCTGGCCGGCTTCAGCAAGTACAAGGTACGGGTGGGGCGCGGGTGTCGGGGGCCTGGCCGTGGGGCTGGGGGCTCCTCGGGGCCCTGCGCTGTGAGGGGATGTCCAGGCGGGTCCCCCTGGGAATGGCGGCATTTGGGCGGGGGCTGCAGTGGCACCCGGTGCCGGGGTGTGTGTGTGGTGCTGGGCGCTATGGGAGGGGGTGTCGTGGGGCTCGGGGTGCTGTGGGACACGGGAGTTGGGGAGAGGGGAGCTGCCGTGAGCACTTGTGGCTTGCGGGGAGGCGGGGGCGGCCGTAGGTCCTGGCCCCGTGCAGGGGGAGCCTCGGGGCCTGGTTCCGTGGGGGGAGCCAGCGGCAGTGGGGTCGGGTCCCGTCCCGGGTGCATGTGTGTGTGTATTAAAAGGGTGGTTGTATGAAACGTGTCCCCCCCCACCCAGCCGCTGCCTCACTGTGGGGTGCGGTGAGGTCTGGGGCAGCGTGGTGGGTGCTCGGTTCCATGCAGGACCCCCACCCATCCCTCCCCATGCCCTTTTCCTGGGTGGGCCGTGTAGGGGGGCCCCAGTGCAATGCAGCATGATGAAATGCTTCTTCCCCTTAGCCCCCCCCCCCCCAGCTCTTTCACGGTTGTGGGGGGCTCGGTGCATTAAGGACCAGTGTGTTGAAGGTGTGACAGTGTGAGACGTGGGACCCTCTCCTTGCTGGCGGGGACAGGGGACTGTCATGTGCTCTGCAGCGAGCCGAGGGGTGTCTGTGTGCAAACTGGGCACCCCCAGCCTGTTTCCCAGTGGGAACGAGGATGCCACGTGCAGTGCTGCAGGGTACAACGTCCAGCACAGTGCAGTGTGAGCAGGTCTGTGCTTCAGGTAGGCACTCCCAGGCTGTTTGCCGCCTGGGGAGGACAGTCTGTGCCCAGCAGAGTGTGGGGCAGTGGCAGTGTGACTTCGTGCCAGCTGTGCTCCCCTAGGCATGTTCCTGGAGACATCTTCATGTCCAAGTACAGCACAACATGACGTTACCAAGTGTGGTGTGAGCACATTCAGTGTGTGTGCCCCCCTCCCTGATCTGACCCTGGGAGTGAGGGGCATCACTGGGCACCATGTGGGTGTGATTTTGAGTGGTGCTGTGGCAGCTTGCTTGTCCTCCCTCCCCTTCCTTGGCCGTCAGCAGTGTGGTTGAGGCAGGCAGTTGTGGCATGTCACCACGCCGTGCTTTGCCAGGTTGCACTGTGGCCACCCCTGCCACAAAGGGGCTGCAGAGGAGGGGACTGTGGGTGCGTGTGGGATCCCATATTTAGCATGGGACCATGTTGCTTCCTTGCTGTGGCTGCTACGTGTGTGGTCAGACCAACAAAAACATGTCAGATGTTATCCCTGTCTCTTTGCTTGAGCATGCCATGTGTGCAGTCTTTGAAGAAAGGCTCTGTAAGTGCTGATGGACTCTGTCATAGCAGTTTAAATCCCTACGGGCTGATTTGGGCCAAAGTATATGGTATCTTTAACACAGGGGAACATTGTGTTTATGCGGAGGGGAGGGTGTTTGTTGTATTTTTTCTTCTCCCAGACCAACAGTGAAGCTAAAAGGTTTTACCTAATCTTCTCCTATGTTCTTGTTCTAGGATCCATCACATTGGGCCATGTTGCAGTCATCCTTCCAGGGTGAATCACAGAGTGTCCTTTAAGCCTGGATAAGTCTGAGACATCTGGGGAGTGAAGCTCCTCCTGGAGCAGTCTGTGGAGGCAGGAGTGGTCAGGGCTTCCTCACAATCTCCTTTGGCAGGCTCATTGCTGATGAGGTGGAGATAAATGGACTTGGTAGAGCGAGTTTGACCAATGTGACAGGTTGCATGAGATTTCTTGTGGAAAGCTGAGCGTATGGGGATTTGTCAGTAAAATCTGTGTTTAGAAAGGCAGTGAAAGATGGCAGTTTTGTGTGGGTGCTAGAAAAAGTTAAGTAAAACACACTCAGGTTTGAGCCAGGCCTTGCAAAGTAACTAATTTTGCTCCTGCGAAGACAATGTTTTTGCTTAAACAGGGAGACTCTTGCACGTTAACCCTATTTTCAGCAGTGCGTAGAGGGGTTTGTGGTGTTGCTGCCTTCCTTCTCAGTACCCGTGTGGTGAGAATGGGGTCCCCACCCTCTACAGATAGTGCTAGCAGTTGAACTTGGGAGGGTGCAGGCAAGTGCAGCAACCTTTTCATTTGTTTAGCAGGCACCAAAGACCTGCTCCCAGGTCATGGCCTTTATGAAGGTGCTTCTGATGAAACACTGTTGCACTTATATCTATGAACAGGACCTTGAATGCAGACCAAGGAGAGGAGAAAGGTCCTGTCTTGCACATTAAGTACAGTGTAGGCAGCACTGGCCGCTTGCTGGCACCAGTTATGCACTGGTGTTGTGTTTACTGGCCTTGGTTTGGGATGGCATAGGGCTGAAATGTATAAGGAGGTCTCCGATGGATGGTGGAGCTACCGCTCCAAGCCTGGCACAGCTGAATGGATGGGCAGAGGCCAAGAAAGCTGCCTGTGTCCTGAGAGCAGGAGTGCAGTCTTACTGGCACAAGTAGCTTTGTTTGAGAGATTGTGGTTTTACTGAGTCAGCAGGGACTTTGATAAGAGCACGCAGGTTCATGCTTGGTGCTCAAAGAGCATCATTCTGTCCTGTGCTGAGGGTTTGTCTTATATGCTCCCCAGGGTAGTGTGAGCACCTGCAGGTTAAAGTGCTTTGCTGGAGATGGCAATAAATATGGAAAAGAGCAGTCAGAGCTGGCATGTCAGACTGCCGTGAGGGCAGTGAAGCCCTGGTCGGTCTGTGCAGTGCTGCCCTCCTGTGTGTGTTGTTTGCTTGGGAAGCTTTTTTTTTCTTTGCTATTTTAGCCTTGAGAAAAGGGCTCATCCAGGCCCAAATCTCTAATACTGGGTTGCATATTCCAGCCTTGCTTTAGGCATTGAGGCTTGTCACAGAATCAGCATCTTACAAAGAAGAACAACTTCCTAATATCTCATCTAAATCTCCCCTTTATCAGTTCAAAGCCATTCCCTCATGTCCTGTCCCTACAGGCCCTTGTCAAAAGTCCCTCTCCAGCTTTCTTGTTGGCCCCTTTAGGCACTGGAAACTGCTCTAAGGTCTCTGGAGCCTTCTCCAGGCCTAACAAGTCCATCTCAGCCTGTCTGCTCTGCCCTTTCCTTTCCTAGAAGGTGACTCTAGATCCACCACCACTCTGTTGATGAAAAGCTGATTGACCTTCTGCATACAACTAACAGTTCTTGCCCAGAAAACTTCTGCAACAGTATAAACTGTCATCCCAAATGGACAGAGCAAGAAAGAAGCAAAGTGGGATGTGTATGGATGGCAGTGCAAAGGAACAGAAGAGTAATGTAGTTGTTGCTGAGCTGCTTTCTGTGCCTCATCCCCAAAGTGAGCCTGTGTTTTTAACCTGAGTGGAAGGAGTCAGTGTGTGGCAGCAGCACCAGATCACCTGAGAAGGTGTCTTGTGTTGTCTAACTTGAATTTGTACTTGGAGCCAACATAGCTGGGAGGCTTTGAGCTTAGGTTGGACCAGCCATAACTGCGATGCATGGTCAGAACCAAACCCTCTGCGGGAAGGCTCCTTCAGTTCCTGCTGCCAACAGCTCTGCAGCCTTTGACTGCCTCAGCCTTTAAGCTGCACCTGACAGAAGCTTTCCAGCCTTCACACGATAGATTTGGAGAAGAGCAAGCACAGTTGGGGGTACATGGAAGAGGCAGCCAAGGGAAGGAATGTGTCCTCAGAGAGGAGCTAGTGTCCCTGCAGCTGATACAGGAAAAGCAAAATTGCTTCATGCAAGATGATCCACAGTTTTCTCCAGCCCTGGCTGGTTTACTCCCCCTGTTGCTGCCAGGAGTGCATATGGGAAGCGGCGACTCAGGAATCCGGATGGTTTTAGCTTTGCAGTATGCACATATCTCCTGGCTGGGGGAGAGGCAGGTGTACACCGCTCCTGTCACCAGCTCCCTCAGTGCCGCGGGTGGTGGGGTGTAGAGGGAGCCGTCCTTTAGCTGCTCTTGAAGGGATGCTGAAGAGCTCCTCTGCTGAGGAAGCTGCACAGCAGAAAGCACTGTGTTTAATCGTGCGTCTAACACTTCCTCAGTAGGAGATTGTGATTTGGGTGTAGCACATGTACCTCTGGAGACAATTTAAGCAAACCTAAAGTGGGAAGGAAGGGTTTCTCTGCCAAATCAAATACGTCCTTTGTCACTAATGTGTTACAGTCTTGCCTGGCAGCAGCATGGCAAGGCTTCTCCTGAGGAGATGCTGTATGTGGCAGTTGGAGTGCTGGAGAAGTCCAAGGTGTGTCTGCTCCAGTGCTTCCTCTGGCTTGTCAGGGTGGAGCTCTTGGTATCAAAAATAAAGCTTTTGTTTTGAGGCTGTAGAGCAGGATGCATGTGTTGACCTTCCAAAGAAAAGCAAACCAGGCGCTCTGCTGTGTTGAATGTCCTCTCCCAAAACCAGATGCTCTGTTAAGTACTGAATGTTTTCTGCCAAGCAAGATGCAGCCAGGCACTGCAATTTCAGAGTGTAAACCTTGCAGTTGGATGCCAGAGGTCGTGATCTGCTTCTTAAAAACCCATCTGCAGATTGCTTTCTGACAGGCTTTTGGGAAACCTTCTATAATTGTATGGGGAGAGGGAAAAATGGGACTATGTGGAACATTCACAGAGGTGTCTGCTCCTGCTTTGTTTTCTCTAGGGGAAAGACATATCCCTTTCTTCCCTCTAGGCTGCCTCCCAGTCCTGTTTTCACAGAGCAACCCAAACAAATTTCCCTTGTGGAAGTTGTCGCTGCCTTTCTCGAGTGTGGTGCCCAGAGCTGGATGCAGTGTGTGAGATGGAGCCTTACCAGTGCAGTGGAGAGGGGTGGGAGGGATGGCTTTGTGTGTCGCATGCAGCACATGTATTACTCCTGCTTGTGCATCTTGATGAGCTGCACGTTGTTTTCTGCAGCACTGTGACTCTTGTGGCTCCCTTTAGTGGGTCGGGAGGCTGCGCT